TCCTTCTTTGTCAGTTTTTCTGGAAATAACCAGCTTATTGTGTCCAAATATATATTAAAATGATGGAATAAATGGATTGATATAATATTGAAAATCAAGCTAATAATACATTAGGGAGAGGGAAATAAAACAAAACAATCCCTTTATTTAAGATTTTTGAAGACGGCATAGACGTATATGTAACCACAAATATGTACAGTATATAGATATGTTGCCATATGATATCTCTAAACCCCAGCAGAAGGTTTGAACAATGGGGACCCATCTAACCTGGGTATCAGACATTTAAAATTTATACCATTTATCACGGCTCCAAACTTATACCTAACTTCTCACCATCATTAATACATGAATATTGAGTCCTGATGACATACTCTTTGGAGTTGCCTGTATCTATTCCTGTAAACTATAAAATACCCAGAACTGCCACAACATTAAAACCGTGTGATTGATAGGATATTTGGGATTCTGCTGATGTACCTATAATAGAGGACAAAACATAGTGCAAATATTGCTACACACTATAAAACCGCTGGTAAAAAATATGCACTCACATATTCCAAAGAATATAAGCGTGTTCAGGGTGCCTCCCCCTAAGAATGAAAAAGGGGGGGTTTATTCTCCTTTAATTCTCCCTCCTCAAGTGATAGCCAGTGGGGTATCCGGGTCAGCAAAAAGATCCAAGCAGATGCAACCAAAGGAATACTTCAAAGGCGATTTATTCACTTATAAAATTCAAGAGGTATATATAAAAATACATAAAAACAATATAAGAAAGAAAGAGATGCTGGTCCTACGCGTTTCGTCCTTATACAAAAGGACTTCCTCAGGGACCTCTTTCAGTACAAAATTCAGTCACCAAAATTACAGAGAATAAAAAACAGCATGCTGTTTTTTATTCTCTGTAATTTTGGTGACTGAATTTTGTACTGAAAGAGGTCCCTGAGGAAGTCCTTTTGTATAAGGACGAAACGCGTAGGACCAGCATCTCTTTCTTATATTGTTTTTATGTATTTTTATATATACCCCTTGAATTTTATAAGTGAATAAATCGCCTTTGAAGTATTCCTTTGGTTGCATGCTGTTTTTTATTCTCTGTAATTTTGGTGACTGAATTTTGTACTGAAAGAGGTCCCTGAGGAAGTCCTTTTGTATAAGGACGAAACGCGTAGGACCAGCATCTCTTTCTTATATTGTTTTTATGTATTTTTATATATACCTCTTGAATTTTATAAGTGAATAAATCGCCTTTGAAGTATTCCTTTGGTTGCATCTGCTTGGATCTTTTTGCTGACCCGGATACCCCACTGGCTATCACTTGAGGAGGGAGAATTAAAGGAGAATAAACCCCCCCTTTTTCATTCTTAGGGGGAGGCACCCTGAACACGCTTATATTCTTTGGAATATGTGAGTGCATATTTTTTACCAGCGGTTTTATAGTGTGTAGCAATATTTGCACTATGTTTTGTCCTCTATTATAGGTACATCAGCAGAATCCCAAATATCCTATCAATCACACTGTTCTGCTATAAGGTTATCAACTGGGAAATAACCTTGGGAAGCTGTGTACCTTTCAGTTAAGTTGTTGTGTTATATCACCTTTTTCACGGGTGTCCGTGTTTTTGTTTGTTTGCTGTGTTCACAACATTAAAACCACCTGCCTAATATTGTGTTGGTCCCCCTCGTACTGCTAAAACAGCTCTGATGCATCGAGGCATGGACTCCACAAGACTTCTGAAAGTGTGCTGTGGTATCTGGCACAAAGACATTAGCAGTTTATTTAAGTCCTGCAAGTTGTGAGGTGGGCCTCTATGGATTGAATTGTTCCATCATATACCACAGATGATCAATCAGATTGAGATATGGGTAATTTGAAGGCTAAGGCAACACATTGAACTCTATTCTCAAACCATGTGTAACTTTTTTTACAGTGTGGCAGGGTGCATTAACCTGCTGAAAGAGGCCACTGCCATCAGCTAACACCAGTGCCATGAATTGGGGGGGCGGGGAGGCAAACTTTCTTCCATTGCGACATGGTCCAGTTCTGAAACTCATATCCCCATTGAGGGCGCATTGAGCAGTGGGCAGATGTCATCTTGGTACTCTGACTGGTCTGCAGCAGCACTGCCCCATACACATTAAGTTTTCAGCAATTTGAACTGCAATAGCTCTTCTGTGTGATTGACCTGATGGACTAGCCTTCACTCCATCAATGTACATCAATGAGCCTCTGGCTGTTTACATGTTGTCCTTCCTTGCACCACTTTTGGTAGGTAATAACCAATGTATACTGGGAACACCCCACACATTTGGAGATGCTTTGACCCAGTCAACTAGCCATCACTATTTGGCCCTTTTTAAAGTCACTCTGAATTTTTTGTTGCCCATTTTTTCTACTTTCAACACACAAAACTCAAAAACAGTCGGTTCACTTGCTGCATAATATTTCCCACCCTTGACAGGTGCCATTGTAACGATATAATCAATGTTACTCACTTCAGTTATCAGTGGTTTTAATGTTATGGCTGATCAGTGTATTTCACATGTATAAAGCAAAGGGAGTCCCCAGGACGTAACCATGAGGTACCTGGTAGAATAGTCTTTGACCTGATATACTCTGAAACCATATGTATTGTGGAAATTAAAGTGGATCTTCACTTTCAGGGTTTTTGGCATATTTTGTGAAGACCCTCGAAGGTGAAATTTGTGGTTAGTGTCCGATAACTGTAGGTTGCAGAAAGTAGCTTTTACTTACCTGTAGCTCTCGACAGCAACCACCATCTTCATCTGGGTGATCACCTTCAGCTCCTGGTGCTTTATCTACTAGGAGCCATGTAACGGACCATTTTGCTCACAAGGGGTAAAAAACGTTTAGGCAATCGTCCCCCTTTCCAGAGATGCAGGCACAGCTACTGCAGAACACCAAACTCCCAAACAGGATACCAAGTAGCACTCCAAATTCCCGAACTGGAACCTCACGAATAGCTGCTAGCAGCTGAACAGGAAAAGCACCCAAGCAGCTTACACTCCTGGCAATCAGTCTCTAACAGCATACAGTAAATCCCCCCAAGAACGAGACAAAGCTCCGTGTTGAGGGTCAAGCAGTGAACAGACAGAGCTGTGAGTTTATTGTTCTTATGTACACATTCTTACACATTAGTACCACCCACAGGGTTTTGGAACACAACCAATAAACACATACAATACATTCAGACACTCCCACACAAAATCCTCCCCTCTGCCTGTGATACAATTAACTTACACAATGGGTAATTTAATTAGCACAAGCAGAGAAATACAATTCTGCCCAAAACCAGTTCCACAGACTCTTCTATCCTGGAGATAATTGGGAAGTAATCAAATTATCTCCAAAGACAGAGGCAAAACTCCATTGAACACATGGCAGCAAAAAGACAGTAAAATACAATAAAATACACAAGGTTACATTTATGACATAAAATACAGACATACAATATATGCCCAGATAGCTTAGGTCTGAGCGCACAATACTGAATGGCACTCAGACCACAAACACATACAGTTCAATTGCCATGGAGCCAAAGTCTTTTATTAATAGGCTCCATGGCATAGCTATCTGGGTTATATGAGTTCATTCAGTAAATCCGAGAATCTACCGAATGCCAGGGCAGAAAACATGAATAGACCTTTCTGCATAGGAAAATAGGGTATTTAAATGCCGGTCCATAGTCAAAAGGCAGCAGGCAGGCAACCAGGCTCCTCCAATGCACAGTGGCGAGATTGGTCTCGTCACATCTCTCCCCTTTTCCAAACAGACTAACAGGGTATCTGATCTCCTGCCGGTCAGTGCCCTTGTTAGTCCAGCAGCCCACCCACAAAACACAATCAACAGCACAGCCCACCCACAATAAACGGTTAATACACCTGGGTAGAGGAGAAGCTTGTCTATATCTAGGGGCCTCACCACGGCTGTGCTGGGTACAGGTATGCTGACTTGGTGGGTTGCTGAGTGGGCAGAGACCAGCGGTACTCTGCCCTGGTGCCAGCGCTACTGGGAAGGTAGCCTGGTTGAAGCCTGGTTGTTGGAGGGGGAGACCGACTGTCTCCCCTTTAGACACACAGCCCTGCTGCTGGAGACCGACTGTCTCCCCTTTAGACACACAGTCCTGCTGCTGAAGACCGACTGTCTCCCCTTTAGACACACAGCCCGGCTGCTGGAGACCGACTGTCTCCCCTTTGGCTAAACAGCCCTGTCGCTGGGGGGCAGAACCGACCGTCCCTACCCCCTGTGCTGTACGTGCAGAGACCACGGTCCCATCTGCACAGTTGTGGGGCTTACTGTCTCCCCTTTGTACATTAAGCTGCCGCTGGGGAGAGGGGGTAACAAGCTTCTTTCCCATACATACTTCCAGCCGCGGGGGAGGGAGACCGATTGTCTCTGCTCCCAACACAGAGTCCTGCTGCTGGGGAAAGAAGACTGGGCTCTCTATTCCCGGTAGGACACTCTGCCGCTGGGGAATGGAGACTGGGCTCCCAATTCCCTGTAATTCGTACTGCCGCTGGGGAATGGAGACTGAGCTCCCAATTCCCTGCAATATCTCCCCCTGGGGAATGGAGACCGGGCTCCCAATTCCCAATAAATCACACTGCCGCTGGGGATCTGAGCCAACTGCCCAGCATCCCTGTAGCTCACCCTGCCACTGGGGAGGAAGGACGCTGCAAGGAACACTGCCGCTGGGGGACAGGACCACTTGTCTCTGCCCCCTGTAACTCAGCCTGCCGCTGGGGAATGGAGCTCGGGCTCCCAATTCCCTGCAATTCACACTGCTGCTGGGGGACAGAAGCAACTATCTCTGTCCCCTGTAACTCAGCCTGCCGCTGGGGAATGGAGCTTGGGCTCCCGATTCCCTGCAATATCGGTGGAGAGACCTCGGTCCCGTCTCCACCCGCCACCTGGGGTTCTTCCCAGTAAATATCAACAATGTCTTCCCAGCTGAATGGGTCTGGAACTGGATTTGTCACCTTGCTGTCCTGCTGAATCTTCTCAATGGAGTGGAAGAGATCTCGGTAGTCCTGCTCCAGTTCCCACTCCCGGGTTGCTAGGTGAGCCAGGTCTTGCTCAATTTCGTGAGTGTCGTCCTAGTCATACCTGCTCTCCCTCCACTCCAAGAGATCACCGAACCGGGCTTGTGTAGGGCTCCCAAACTCAGGCTCTGCAAAAGCCTCCCATAACAAGCCAGGACCATCAAACTCCTCTCCCTCTGGCTTGTCATGCTCGGCTGTCCAGGGCAGGTACTGTGCCCCATACCACCAGAGAGCCTGGTAGGCATCTTCCAGCCAAATCTCCTGCCATACTCGGAGCTCCAATTCCTTCACCCATTCCTCCAGGGGCTGCTCTCCCAGGAAGGGCATCCGCAGGGCCACTTGCTTCTGCAACCACTGCTCTTCACTGGGGAGACTCTCACCCCGCTGGTATTGTACATTATCCAGGGCCTGGTACCACATGCTTTTCCTTAATGCATCCCGGCGATCCAGGTCCTCCTCCTCGTATAACACTGCTGGTTCCATTCTGTTGCTTTTAGAGTCGCTGTACTGGGACATGCGTTGCCCCCACTTGTAAATCCAAAGAAATGGTGTCACCTGTAGCTGTCCTTCTGGCTGTAGGAACGATCCCGCCGCTTGCCACCAATTGTAATGGACCGTTTTGCTCACAAGGGGTAAAAACCGTTTAGGCGATCATCCCCCTTTCCAGAGATGCAGGCACAGCTACTGCAGAACACCAAACTCCCGAACAGGATACCAAGTAGCACTCCAAATTCCCGAACTGGAACCTCACGAATAGCTGCTAGCAGCTGAACAGGAAAAGCACTCAATCAGCTTACACTCCTGGCAATCAGTCTCTAACAGCATACAGTAAATCCCCCCAAGAACGAGACAAAGCTCCATGTTGAGGGTCAAGCAGTGAACAGACAGAGCTATGGGTTTATTGTTCTTATGTACACATTCTTACACATTAGAAACACCCACAGGGTTTTGGAATACAACCAATAAACACATACAATACATTCAGACACTCCCACACAAAATCCTCCCCTCTGCCTGTGATACAATTAACTTACACAATGGGTAATTTAATTAGCACAAGCAGAGTAATACAATTTTCCCACATTATTCATAACTTGAAAAGTATGCATCACATTCACATAAAACTTACATTTTCAGCATACTCCAAATACAAACATACGTCAAAATCATACAAATTGGTCAAGTGGTTCAAAAGATAGATCGTAGTCCTTTGTGACCACAGGAAGCATGGCTTTTCTGCCCAAAACCAGTTCCACAGAGTCTTCTATCCTGGAGATAATTGGGAAGTAATCAAATTATCTCCAAAGACAGAGGCAAAACTCCATTGAACACATGGCAGCAAAAAGACAGTAAAATACAATAAAATACACAAGGTTACATTTATGACATAAAATACAGACATGCAACATATGCCCAGATAGCTTAGGTCCGAGCGCACAATACTGAATGGCGCTCAGACCACAAACACATACAGTTCAATTGCCATGGAGCCAAAGTCTTTTATTACATGAATAGGCTCCATGGCATAGCTATCTGGGTTATATGAGTTCATTCAGTAAATCTGAGAATCTACCCAACGCCAGGGCAGAAAACATGAATAGACCTTTCTGCATAGGAAAATAGGGTATTTAAATGCCGGTCCATAGTCAAAAGGCAGCAGGCAGGCAACCAGGCTCCTCCAATGCATAGTGGCGAGATTGGTCTCGTCACAAGCCACATCAGCCACATCACTCTTAAATGGAAGTCTCCATAATACATCGAGATGAGTGAGATTGTGCCTTAATCCATTGACGGCTGCTGGGATTGGACAAAAGTTGAAATCAGAGCTCTGCCTTTTTTCAAGTTTAGTCAACCTCAGGCTTGTCCATAAAACAAGGTGGTCCCTACATATGGAATCTTTGGGTTGTGTTGGAATTTCAATTACATTCCAACACAGTCAGAATTAGTATTTCATAGAGAGTATTCAAGTAGTGACAAAGTTGATTTAATACAGCCAATAATTAAAAAATAGATGAATATAAATTGGGGTTTCCAAGTGCTTGTTATAGCATTCCCCCATACCCCCAATAAATGCCTACTAAAAGCACTATAATGATAAATATATTATTATTATCGCCATTTATATAGTGCCAACAGATTCCGTTGAGCTTTACAATATTATTAGAGGGGGGATTTAACTATAAATAGGACAATTACAAGTTACAGAAACGATAGGTTGAGCAGGCCCTGCTCAAATGAGCTTACAGTCTATAGATATATATTATATGTGGACATAGGGTGTTTCTTTTTTTATCTTTTCACAGTTTAGAAAGGATTGCCTAACTGATTCTGAACTATAAATCCCATGACTCTTCGGCAATTTTAATTTTTTTTTGGTTCCAGAGCACCTGGTGTGTTTTAAAGCAAATTGTTTTTCCCTACATGCACATACAGATTTATACGTTGACAAGAAGCCATATCTGACTCTACCGATAAGAAAAGGACATACCTTTGGCCTCATTGCCATCGTTTGATATATTGTTTATTGTCCTATTGCCTACATATTTTCTGGTTGGTTACTAAGATTCTGTGAGGCGCTTCCTGCTATCTGTTTGCCAATTGACCTTTCTAGGGGTTTGAGGGAACCCCCTATCCTCATGTGAGCTGCCCTTTATTTGTCTTGGTATAGTTATCTAGCTTGATTTCGTGCTCCCGAGTCCCAACCCCACAGAGGCTTATAGGGAGCCTGTTTAGTATACAGAATGGCTCCCATACTATGTGCTTATCAGATCTCTCTCGCCTACAGATGAGACACAGCTAAGTGAGCCCAGTGCTGTATGAAAATAGCAAACCCACAATAGAAAATCTGCTTAGCAGCTGAATGGCAATCTTCCTAAACCCGTCCATGTGTGCGTATGCACATAGAAAGTAGGGATTAAACTTTACTAATGCTCCGTACAAGGGAGAATAAACATTCTGGGGATCTCCTATTTAATACAGGAAACATATTCTGCCATTCTTTTATCTCTTGTGATTTTTAAAGAGTAACGATGACATGTAATAGAAACCCAATGCATATTACAAATAGTAAATACAAATAAATAAAATGTCAAAACATATAAAGTGAACAAAAGACAAATAGCTTGCTTTTGTATCTGCAGTTCTATATATGAAATGAAACCTTAGAGCAGTTCAGATCTTGCAGGAACTCATAATATCCTTTTTTTGTCTATTTTTTGTTTGACTGTAGGGTTTCAGTTTGCCCAATCTCTATAAAAAAGGAAGAGCTATAAGATACGTATTTAATTTATTTATTATTTTATTTATAAAATATTTTACCAGGAAGAAAACATTGAGATTTCTCTCGTTTTCAAGTATGTCCTGGGTCCACAAAACACTGCATCGTTACAGTAAGGTACAATATTAAAAGAAATACAATATACAAACAATATATATTATATTTGTGTCCGAGGCCCTATAGAGTGATAGAGAGAAAAATAAGAATAGCGTAATACAGAATGGAAAAAGTCGGTTGTGGTGTGCCCGAACCGACGATGCTGGTAGGCCTGTAAAATAAAGAGGGCCCACTCTTAAGGTGTAAAGAAAGGTAGATTGAGTGTATAGAGGGAGTGGAGGGAGGGGACATGCAAATCGCTAGATGAGGAACGCTACAGGGGAAGGTGAGGAGTCCCTTTAAAAGGTAACTAAGCCCCTCCTACAATTCCAGGCAAAGCCTTAACACTTGTGTCCGAGACACAAAGGCCATAAAGAGTGATAGAGAGAAGAATAGTGTTACGGTATAACCCGGGTATCGGGGGTTAATGCCGAATGACGGATTCACTTTGATACGGGAATAGCAACTCACGAACGCTTAATTTCACCGAACTGGAAAAATACACGAAATCCTTCTCCCCTTCATACGGGACTAGCAATACTAGCAATACTACGAATACTTCAATTTCCTGAATAGAGAATCATACAAAATCCTTCTCTCCTGGAACAGGCAAAAGAATAATCCAAAGTAGCAATTCCCCCAAACACGAGACCAAGCTCTGTCTTGAGGGTAAAACAGGAATCTGCTTTATTGAGGGCTACATGCCCGGTATTTATGCAGGTCTCCCACCTGGTGGACACTCCCCTAGGGGACCAGATGGAAGACTGGGACAAGTATGGTATAGTAGCCAATCACAGTGGCTCAGGCATAAACACTCCCCTTTGTACAAGTAAACCCCTCCTCTCTATCCTGGCGATAATTGGTAAGAAATCCAATTATCTCCATGGATAGAGGCAAAACGCCATTTTACAGGATACAATAAAAATACATAAAATTCAATAACTGTAAAACTATCGAATGTATTCAGTACATATAACGTATCCCCAGATAGCCTAGATCTGAGCGCACATTATTACTTAATGGCGCTCAGATACAATACACACAGTTCAATAGCCATGGAGCCAAAGTCTTTCACACTGTTCTTTCGGTATATGAATGGCTCCATGGGATGGCTATCTGGGTTAAGTCCATTCGTGAAATAAAAAGTCCCAAACGGGCCGGCGTTCGTATGCCAGATGACAAAGAAGGGAGGTCGGCAGTTTCAGCGGTGTTCGGGAGAAAAAGTGTCCGTTTTGGGTTCCATAATATTGTTGTCGAACACCGCTGTTCATTCGTGCGTCTAAGATGGCCGCCGCCTCGTGGTCGGCATACGAACGATGACCACCCAGCTTACGGTTTCAATTAAGAGGTGTCTGCGGTTAACCACAACGTTCTAATTGAGGCCGATAGGTTAACCAGCAGCACACCTCTCTTCTGGGTGGCTGGCCATTCGGCAGTTTGTTCGATAGATTAAAAAAATAAACGAACGGGGAAGTACGGACAGGTAATTATACACATGAATCAAACGGGATAGCCATATAGTTCTAAGACAGAGGGATCTGTCACAAATAGGAATAGTGTATAATATTACAAAAAATAATAACAGCATATGCATCAGTTACAGGGTTAATCACTAAAATGAGAATTCAACGTGAATTCAAAGTAAATGTCAAACTGAAAAGTCAGATATATTTGAAATTTAGCTACTCTGACCTTACATTTTAATTTCATTTTGAAATGTTACTTTAGTAAATAACCCTCTTACAATATCTGCACTATTGGCTTTTAATGTTTAAATGTTTAAAAAGTATGTTTAC